TTCTATCCCCCCACCCCGTTTCTGCCATCTCGATCCTCGACGACCCAGATCCCGATCCTGATCCATCCCCCCTGACGATCGCGACCCTGTCACACCCCGATCATCCCACTGCCCCGTGACCTGGATCCCGTTTCCTTCCTCCCACCTCGCCGATCCCGCTCATCCCACGGCCCCGTGACCTGGATCCCGACTTCTTCTCCCGCCTCTCAGATCCCGATCATCCCACTGCCCCGTGTCGACCACCAACCCCATCCCCACCCTGTTTTTCAGCCCTCCCCCTGTACTTTGATCTCCTGTTCCATTCCCCCATCCCGTTTCTGTCCCGATCCCGACCCTGATCCATGACGATCGCGACCTTGTTACACCCCGCCCTCCCGAGCCCTCCCACCACAAGCCCTTCAATCCCTGAGCCGTGTATCTACGCTAACAGTCTAACATTATAAGAGTCTGAGCATTTGCATCGTCCTGAGCCTGTGTATTTGCACTGGCACTGCGAGGAGTCTGTGCACGTGCCTGTGTATTTGCACTGGCACTGTGAGCCTCCTTGCACTTGCATCATCCTGTGCATCTACACTAACAGTGCAAGAGTCTGTGCACTTGTATCACCCTGAGCCTGCGTTTTTGCACTGGCACTGTTAGCCTTCTTGGGTCAGGCAACATTCCTGTGCATCAATACTAACAGTGTAAGAGTCTGAGCACTTGCATCACCCTGAGCCTGCGTTTTTGCACTGGCACTGTTAGCCTTCTTGGGTCAGGCAACATGGCTAGTCTGAAAAACGAAGCTAGAAGAAGGAACAGAAAAGGGGAGAGGGGGGCCCGGACGATTTGGTACCAAGGAGCTATGAGACATCGCCCCTCGGACTGGAGACCGCGGGAGGAAAAGGACGGTGGGTCAGGAATGATGGACACAACCTCCTCCTCCCACTCACCGCCAGTCTCCCCCTCGCCGGCAGAACTTTTAAATGAAATGAAGCATGCACAGGACAACCTCGAACAAACACCCTCTACCTCATGGGCTGGCAAACTTAAAAAAATGTATTCAGGCCAGTCGCTGTCAGTGAGAAGGGAAGGAGAACCAGAAGACATTTTGGAAGTACCATTAGATAACCTGACGACGGCTTCAACTTTCTTCATCGCCAAATTTCTGGCCGCTCCCGAGGAAAGAATAATTAATCAGGGCGGGAGAAAGCATAGAGTCAAATCTCTTTCAGACAATGTGATTAAAGAACGAAACGATGTCTACACCCGCCATGCAAGCACGGGTTTTTTTTATGATGATGCTGCCTATAAATCTGCAAACGACAAGATTGGATGGATTAGGAAACGTCTCACAACCCTCAAAGGCTCTGAGGGCGCTAGAGACTTTTTCTTAATCCAGCCAATCTCGTCGACGATCTTTACAGTCCTATGCATGTTTGACTCAGACAAGCGCATCATGGACTCTTGGCGAAGTATCCCCTGTGGACGCTCAGAAAGTTCGGATATTCCCGTGGGCCCTGCCGAAACCAGAGGAAAAAAGGGAACAACTTATGACGGAACACTATGGGTGGAATTTCGCCATGTACCCATTGAGATCCAGGGAACTTTCATTCAGGAGTTGGCCCAGAAGTACGAGATCATCGACTTCATTGACCCCCTCCCCCCCCACGTTGCCCAGCGAGATGACTATCACATGATAGCCCTGGACATCTCTGATGACCAGGTTTTCACCATTGAAGACGTCATCCCCTTTCGAGTAGGAGGGAGGGACTTCAGGATTCACACAGCACACAAAACACGGCCATGGTGCTTTAAGTGCGAGGCCTATGCGCACCTCTCCTCAAACCCGGATTGCCCTCATCACCCGGCCAAACGGATCCGTTCCACAGGACGCCTACTCCGAGATCCACTCAAAAGCACGTGGTGGAGAACGGTGGATGCAGGCCACGAAGGATGGGTTTTTGTGAACGAACCTCTGGCGGGGGGAGAGGTAAGGGGGTGGGAATGGGAAAAAGGGGACCCAGTGGAATGGAGCACAAAACCACCCGATCACTGGACCCCCCCGAAGTCAGTAGAAGCACATATGAACAGACCCCCCAACCCCCCCCCGTCCCAAGACAAGATGGGAATGCAGAAAGTGGGCCGCCCCGATCACAGCCGCAGAAAGAACCCCAGCCACGACCTTGGGCGGAACCCAAGCCACAGGATTTCCTTAACAACGAAGACACTAGGGAGCTGTGGCATA